CTCTTATCCCTGAGCACCTATAACCAGAGCTGGCTGTGGACCACACTGACATCTTAGATATGTTGGCTTTGGGACCTCCCTTGAGTGGGGACTGCTGAGATTCCAAAGCAGTGTGTGGGTGGAGTCGTTCACATTGCTAGCTGGAAGGGATCTTTCCACACACATGGAAACCAGGGCCCACAGAAATAACACAAAACAGCCCAGAGTCTTTGAACAGCTGAGACAAGGCCTAACACCTGAGCCCACAGCTTATAGTAGAGAACTACCCAGATTTTAGACTGGGCTTCCTTAGCATGTAAAGTTTTTTGTTTTCCCCCAAGGGAAGTAAAGGTAAGGCTAGGATTGGTGTGTTAGGAACGACTGCTCAGTGTCTGGGTTTCTTCATATGGCCCCTGACAGAAAAACCTACAGGCCTGCCCTTGTGCTGTGAAAACAAAAGTTCAGCCGAGGAGAAAGAGACTGTAAACTAGACACGATGGCAAAGTCCTGTGTAGCCCCAGCAGTGGGGAGGTAGGAGGACAGCCAGTCTGAGGCCAGCCTGGGCTGGCAATGAGATTCCATCTGAAAAGGGAAGGGGAATGGGGGAGGGAGGGAGGGGAGGGGAGGGGAGAAGGATAAAGGGAGGGGAGGGGTGGGAGAGGAGAGAAGGGATGGGAGAAGGATAAAGGGAGGGGAGGGGTAGGAGAGGAGGGGAGGGGAGAAGAGGAGGGGAGGAGAGAGGAGGGGTGAGGGAGGGGAGAAGAGGGGAGGGGAGAGGAAGAGAAGAGAGGGGAGGGGAAGGAAGGAGAAGGGAAGAGAGGGGAGGGGAGGAGAAGAGATGAGGGGAGGGGGAAAGGATAAAGGGAGGGGTGGGAGAGGAAGGGGAGCTGTGACAGGGTAGGCTACAGGCCTCAGTGCTGTTCCCCTGGCAGTCCTCCAGGGGCTATTGCTTCACAAGGGCGCGTGTTAAAATGTCTTCTTGCTTTAGAACATTTTGGACATCTGGAAAATGAAGTGCCGGAGGACATGAAGCTAGCTCTGCCAGTGTATACTGCTGTCATCATGACTGGGTGTGGTGGTGCAAGCCTTTGATCACAGCAGTTGGGAGGCAGAGGTAGGCAGACCTCTTTGAGTTCCAGGCCAGACTGATCTAAATATGGAGTTCAAAAGACAACACCAACTAGCAGACATGGTTGGTCGCTCAGTCTGTAATCCCAGTACCCAGGAGAGGGATTGCCAGGAATCTGAGACCAAAGTGGACTACATAAACACATTTAGAGCAAGACCTTGTTAAAAACAAAAAACACAGGATTAAGAAACAATCCAACCATCGGTTGTCTCCAAATATATAAACCTCACTGGCAAAGATGCATGAAGAAACTGAATGTTAAAGGGTGGCAGTGAGTAAATTTCCATTTGCTAAGTAAATGGGAACCTAGAGCTACCTTGTATTCTAGGTTTAGAACTAGCTATCACTACTCTTATAACAGATAGAACAAACTTCAAGCCAAAATTAACTCAAAGAGACAAAGAAGGCACAACATATTAATAAAGGGAAATATCTGCTTCCTTGCAGGATATAGAATAATTTTGAGTATATAGACATTGAATATTGAAGGCCCTAGTTTCATAAACACAGCCAGACATAAAAAGACAGATAGGTTCTGATATAATAATAGTGGGTAAGTTCAGTATGCCTTTATCTAGTCAACAGATAGGTCAATCAAACTAAAAGCTGACAAAGACACATTAACATTATTTGACATAATAGGTCAAATAGACTTAATAGGTGTTTACAGAATAACCCATCACACAGAAGCAGAATGCACATTCTTTAGGAACTTTCTCTAAAAGGTTCACATTTTAAGATATAAAGCCAATAGTAACAAATAAAAAATCAGAATAATGCCTGCATCTTGCTTGATTAAAGTGGAACAGAACCAGAAAGCACCACAGAAAATAGGCAAATACATGGAGACTTAACAAACCACTTTGGAATTGGAGAAATCAGAGGAGAAATTAAAAAACTGCTACAATTGAATGAAGATGTAAAGTACAACTTATCAGAGCATGTGGGAAACAGCCACGGCAGTTTTAAGAAGAAGGCTTATAGCTGTGAGAACTTCTATTAAAAAGTAGAGATATGCTGGGAAGGGGGCTAAGCAGGTATTTGCACATCACATATACACATGCAAAAAAAAGAGAGAGAGATCTCACATAAATAATTTAATGATGTCTTAGAAGAACAAGAACAAGCCGTGAATCAAAGTAGCAGATAGAACAAAAGTATAATGAGCCAAGTAGAAATTAAGGGATGGATGCTAAAAGGACAATACAAAGCAAAGGACACAAGAAAAGCTAGGTGTGTGTGGGTGTGTGTGTGTGGGTGTGTGTGTGTGTGTGTGTGTAGGGGGGGGACAAGATTGTCAAGCCCCTGCCCAAATGAATCAAAAGAAAGAGAAAGCTCAAATTAATAAACATAGAAAAGGGAGGAGGGACACCAGAACAGATACCAACCAACAAACTCCAGAAGGACATTAGGGAGTACTTTGAAAACTGAGAGTCTAAAAATGTGGGCAATCTAGAAATAATTAGTGTGTTCTTAGACACAAATGATCTAGCAAAATTCAAGCAAGAGGACACATGTTAAATAGATCTCCAAAAAGCAGTGTGGTTGAAGCAGTCCCAGTTTCCTGACAAAGAATTCTATGACACCTTTAAAGAAGAGCAAACACTACTATGCCTCAAGCCTCAAGCTGCTGCATGGGTTGGAAAGGGGAGGAAGAAAAGCAACTAAGACAAACTCTTCACCTCACTCCACAAATGAAAGACATCTGCACTGCCAACTATATAAGCCAGGCATGTCTGGCCCAGCAAGGGAACCGGGAGTCTGTCCAGGCTAACCTTGGCCCCTTAAGACTCTGCCTCCCACCTCAAGCAAAACAAACAAACAATTAAACAAACATGTATTCTGTCATTACCCTAAGACCCAAACTAGGTGAGAACAAAAGAAGAAAAAAACTATAGTCCACTGTCTCTGATGAACATTGATACAAAAATTCTCCATAAAATACCTGCAAACTGAATTCACCACAATACACAGAAAAAAAAGTATGTGCCACAATCATGTTGATTTAATCTGGGAGATGAGAATATTCTACTTTATGTAAATCAGTAGTTTTATTAGACTCAAGAGACAAATCATTTGGTCATTCCAATAGATACAGAAAAGGCCTTGGATGTCCCTTTATGGTGAAAACCCTGAATAAACAATGGCCAGGCATAGATCAGCACAGTAAAGGCTACAGTCATAAACCTACAGCCAACTCTATAATAATCAGTGGAAAAGTGAATGCATTTCCTCAAAGAACAGGAAGGAGACAAGGGTGCCCGCTTTCTATTCTTACTCGGTAAAGCACCTGAGTATTAGCTACAGAAATTAAGGGGGAAAAAAGGGGGGGTAGATTGGTTATTTTTCTTTGTAATGGAAGTCTCCTATGTGTGTGTGTGTGGGGGGGGGGAGTGGGGGTGCAAACCTACAATCCCTGTCACACAAGAGGGGAGGGAAAAGGCAAGAGGATTTTGAGTTTGATGTCAGCTTGGGCTACCTAGTGAGAACCTGTTTTAAAAAACAAACAGCCTGACTACGAAAACAAACAAAACCCCCAAACCTAAGGTATCAAAAACACAAACAATCCAGAAACACAACTGACTATAAATCCCACTGCAAACTGGTGCACATGACACTTCCTTACTGGGATATACGTTTTGTATACATGTGTAGATTATATAGAATCTTCCAGAGAAATGCACCAGATATAGTGCCACAGAAAGGTGTCATGTTTTGGTTTCTAGTGCCATATTAAAACACTGTGATCAAAAGCAACTTGGAGAGGAAATGGTTAATTTCAGCTTATGGTTGTAATCAATCCATCCTGAAGGGAAGTCATGGCAGGAACTCAAGTGCAGGAACTGAAGCAGAGACCAGGGCTGTGAAAGATAGCTGCTTACTGGCTTGCTCTCCCGTGCCTTGCCAGTTTGCTTCCTTATACTACCCAGGACCTCCTGCCCAGGGCTGGCACTGCCCACAGTGCGACCAATTAGCAATCAAAGAAAATGCCCCACAGATTTCTCTACAGGCAACCTGATGGATTCCCCTTGGATTCTAGTGTATGTCAAGTCCACAAAAAGCTGACGAGGAAAGGGAGTAAAATGCATTTATTTATTTGCTGAGGTGGGGGAATGTTGGAGGTCAGAGAACAATCAATGGCAGGCAGGTCTCTCTTGCTACCATGTGGGTTCCAGGGATTGAATTTGGGAGGTCATCAGGCTTGGTAGCAAGCACCTTGGCCCACAGAGACACCTCACTAGCTCTAACACTTCTCCTCCTCCTCTTTTTTTTTTTTTCTCCCCCCTTTACAGGGTCTTACTGTGTAAGCCTGACTGTCCTAGACCTCAAACATGTCTGCTTGCCTTGGCCTCTCTAGTTCTGGAATTAAAGCCAGATCACTTTCTGTGTGATTTAGGCTTCATTTTCATCTGTAGAATTTAAGTTGAAATGCCCTCTGTCCTCAAGGGCACAATGAGTTGAGTGCAACTGTTTACTTACTGTAAACTCAGGAAGTCTCAAGCTGATAGGTGTTGCTTCTGACAACCCACCACCGGTGTGCCATCTGAGCGTCCCACAGTTTCTTCCAAATTCTATTCTGCGCTATCCTAAGGAAACTCGATTTCCTCGAGTAACTTAATAAACCAGTTTCCTGAACTATGAGGAAGGCACTGTCTGGACACCACGCTTGTATGCAATCACCTCTTCTATCTGGTTCACTTACTGCTCCTTAGAGGCAGTGAATGTCTTGGAACTAGAGCCAGCACTAGTCACTTTGAGGCTATGCGAGTCCCATCCCCAGGCTCGGGAGGCTTAGCTGAATGGGGTGCAGCAGCAGCCGAGTCCTGGTGAAAGTCCGCACGGTTTGCGTCGGTCAGCACGAAAGCCCAAGCTAGCCGCGCTGAATCTCGAAGCACCATCCTTTTCCGTCTTCCGCTGGCTCCCACTCTCGGGTGGCGCCCCGCAGACCCCGAGCCCGCCGGGCAAGAGAGACCCGGCTGGCGCCCCGCGTGGCCGCGCACACCCGCCGGTGCAGACTCCGGTCCTCAAGCCCCGCCTCCCGGGCCCAGCTGATCCGCGCCGCCCTGCAGGCCCCACGCCTCGGCCCCGCCGAGCCCCACGACGCCCGCGCCCGCCGCCCCCTGCGCCGCCAACCCCGGTCCCGGCCGTGCACCTCCGGCCGCGCGCGCGCGCGCGCTGGGAGGGCAGCGGGAGGCGGGGCGGCCTGCACGGTGCGGCAGAGCAGAGAGTGGCGCGGCCCCGCCGCAGCCATGGAGGTCTACATCCCGTCCTTTCGCCACGAGGACAGCGATCTGGAGCGCGGCTACACGGTAGGCCGTCCCCGTGGATCCCCCCTCCTCCCGCGGTACCCCCAACTCCGCCAGCGCGGTCGTCATGGAGACGGGTGTCCCTCCCCAGCCCCCCTCCTGCCTCCCGGGGCTCCATCCCTTCCCCCTCTGCGGCCCACGGCCCCGGGAGCTTCGGAGCGGCCCGGCTGTCCTCCGCTCTGCTTGCTGTGCTGCAGGTTCTTCATGATTTGCAAGTTCCCTAAGGTTCGTTCAGATGGAAAACGTGCTACCAAAGGGGAAAGGGGGGGGGGGCAAAGAAAAAAAACCCTTTTGGTTGTTCATTAGCCAGGGTAACACATAGATTAAATTTTAGATATTTTTTTAAAGATGGTTTTTAGACTGCTTCTTTTTAGTTCTGCACTGGCAAAGTCAGGTGCTTTACCTTAGTACGTGTCCTGTACTTAGTAGAGTTGCTTAGAAATTCGAGACAGGTGGCTTGCTCTGAGTAGAACTGCTGAGACCAGCCTGGGACCCTTATAGTAACAAGTTAAATGAGTTAAGTGTTGGTTGATTTCCTAGTAAATTTAAGCTCCTTCAGTTAGATAGCCATTGCAAGCGGGAGAATTGGTTAGAACTTTCAAGAGTTTTGTTTTGTTCTTTTGTTTGTTAGCTTTTTGCAGTTGTTGGAGAGCAGACTAGAGAGATCATTCCAGACTGACAAACGTAGTTTCTTCTTTGTTGACTAGCAGCTGTGTTTTCTGTCATTGGCCAGTTTCTTGTGAAATACCAAACAATAGTTGTGATGCACTCTGCTGCTTGTCCAGGTGAGATGCTGAGTCAGCTGTGGGTTAGCGTAGTCAGTCTTTAGCAGATGGAAGGTGTGTCCTGGTGTTTCTTGTATAAGTGTGCTATACAATGTTCTCTTCAGGATCTGTAGGGATGTTTAGGTTTGGAGGAAGACTGTAGAGGACAGCCTGGATGGATTACCGTCTTATTCACTTACTAAACATGTCATTCTGGCACAGCATTTTGTTTGTATTTCAAGACAGGGTTTCTCTGTGCAACAGCCCTGGCTGTCCTGAACTCACTCTGTAGACCAGGCTGGCCTCGAACTCACAGAGATCCACCTGCCTCTGCGTCCTGGCTGCTGGGGTTAAAGGGGTGCACCACCATTGTCCATCCTGACACAGCGTTTTAATCCTTCTTCCTTCCTCTAAATATTGCTGGTGTCTTGTGACAGCCCATCTAAACCCTGAGTTTTCAAAGTGAAAACTAAATCTCCGTCTGAAAAGATGCAGAAGTGTCCTCTGAAAGTGGCTAAAGTGCTAGCCATGGTCAGTAAATGGGGAGAGGGAGCTGTGCTGGCTCACAGTAACCTTCTCTTCTGCAAATCCTCCAGGCACATAACACATGATTAATTGTTCTGCATCTTCTTTTAAAGATTGTAGGTCAGTGGCAGAGAGCACTTGTGTAACATCCACAAGGCTTTTGGGTTCTGTCCCCAGCACTGCAAACACCAAATATCAGCTCCTTCCAAGGAGCAGAAACTTTGGCTGTATTTTATTTGAGAAACCCCGTCTCTTCTGTTGGCACCTTGCTTTCGGAGGCATTCTTTTGGGGTTTAAAGGTAAAATAACTTCTTTGTTAAGAGCTTTGGGCTTCAGGCAGCCCAAGCTAAAGCCTAATTACCAGCAGAAATAAGTATCTTCGAGTAGATGGCAATTTAGCTTCATTGCCCAATACTGAAATTGTTTGCCTTTGCATACTATTTGTTAAAGATTGCATTACATGTGTTTGTGTGTATGAGTGTGGTGTGTATGTGTGTGTACATGTGCTAACATGCAAACACACTCTTGCTTGAATGATTATGTGTATTGTATGTGCCACAGTTTATACATGTGGAAGTCTGAGGATAATTCTTGGAGTCAGTTCTCTCCTTCCAGCACGTGGGTTCCCAGAATTGAGCTCGTGTTTTGGGCTTAGCTAAAAATGCCTTCATCTTCTGTGCTATCCTGCTGGCCCTGTTTGTTTGAGATCATGTCTCCATGTGTGACCTAGGCTGGCCTCAAAGTCAAAGTAATCCTCCTATCTCAGCTTCTTTGATGCTGGGTTTACAGGTGTGTGCTACCATATCTGGCCAGATTCTCTTTCATTAGAGAACCTGATTTTCCTCCCTGCAGTATATTTACTTAGTGATTATGATTGTATTTTTATAGTAGGAGAACATGACATTCAATTCTAACTACTTCAGTGAGAGAGTTTAAGTAGAAAGGATGAATGCTCTGGGGATACAGATATGGCCAATCAAACTTCAGCTCTCATTCCAAAGGGAATAGTGTGTTCTGTGCTAAACATGAGTTACTATGCCCTGGGACACATGGATTCACATTGCCCCAAATGGCATGCTCCACCCTGGAAGTGATTATAGGAGCTTTGTAGTCATAGGACAAACCATAGTCATGAATGAAGGCATTTTCCAAATGCATTTGCTCGAGCATTTACAGCAGTGGGAGAAGCTGTGTTGTCGGTCTCCAATGCTATAGAATGGCATTCTTAGCTTTAGGGTTAGTGGAGGTAGTGATCTGTTGAGAATACATGACCAAGTTTTTTACCAACCTGTTAAAAGGATGCTTGGTCAATCATAAAGGTGTCGATAACAGGCTATTCAGGAAGCATGATAATTCAAGGTAATTTTAGCTCTGAATCAGCAACATTCCTACTCTCCACAGCCATGAAGTTCTAGACAATCCAAGAATCATTGTGTAGATGTGGCTTAGAGAACTTCGGTACCAGCTCACATGTAGAGAGCTTGCTGAGGATGCTGGAGATCCTGGCACCTCAAGAAAACAACAAAAACAAAAACCAAGTCAGACAAAACAGTTGTTGATAGCCCTGTGACTAGTGAGGGGTGTGTGTGTTCTTTAGCTATGTTGTAAACATGTGTGTGTTGCACATTTTGCCAGACCCCAGGATGCCAATTAAACTGACTTTGGGAGAGTCCTTTTGGGTTAAACTTAGCAGTTTGAAAATTTCACTTACAATGATAGTTTGTGCACTCTTTAAAAGTTTACTTTTGAAGCTTAGTTAGATTGCCAGACACATTATTGAGGTGCTTTTCTTTCTCTCTGCAAGCTCCTGACGCAGCTGATGTTTTGTTCTCTCTATTCTAGTTGCACAGCCATGAATCACCCAACAAACATTAACCAAGTGCCCTGTGTGCTCTATGTCTGTTCTGGGAGGAGAGCTGGGAGTGAGTGGTGTTTCAGCTGAAAGAAAGAACCGTTTATATGGAATGTACGAAATAATAAAACAGCTAAAAAAAAAAAAGCAAAAGAAAAGTTTTAAATCTGATATAGTTTCTAAGATAGGAACCGGGTAAAACCATGTACACTTGAGAGAGCAATGAATACTTTTAATCCATAGTGATTATGTTTTACAAATGCTAATAATCCTCCTGGTAAGGAGGTAAAAGCAGAGGCAGTTTCTCTTCCTCTTGGTTGAGAGTTCAGTGATCCCAGAGGTCAAGTGTGGGACTGGGTTCTTAGAAATCATGGCTTAGGGTGTACACTGGTAATCTCAGCACTTAGGGTCAGAGGCAGGAGAACCTGGAGTTCAAGGCCCACCTTAGCTACACAGTGAGTTGGAATGACTGGCTGGAAGGTGATGTTCCTGCCCTTGAGAGGGTGTCTCTGAGTCTAGAGTCATGCTTGGGGCTGCCAGGCTGTCTGGCAGAGCCCTGTGTGGGCCACTTCTGCTGTGCCCGTGGTGGGGGAGGGTGCATAGGAATGCTGACTTTGAAATCTGATTAGCAGGGTGGTTTTTTTTTTTTTTTTTTTTGCTAGCCTGTGAATTTTAAGAAGAGGAAATTCATGACAAAAATCTGAGAGAACTGGCATTTCAGACTCCAGATACACCAACTAAATAAAATGCGGGGGTGGAGGGGGTTGGGGGTGAAGGGGTGAAGGAGATGGGGGAGTGGGGGTGGGGACCTCCTGGTCAGTTTGGTCTCCAGAGAAGCAGACCAGGCTGTTGTAAGGAAACAGCAGATAAATGTTATTTCCCGGAGGCCTGGTTTCCTCCGATTCCCTTGTTTCTGAGCCTTCATGCCTGTGACTTTGTAGGCGATGAACTAGTCCTTGGGGCTTGAAACTGTCTGTGTCCAGGTACAGGTCTGTCATGTGGTCGGGACAACACTTGCTGGAAAGCCTGATGGGTTAGGAGCTCAGACCTGTGAAGAAAAACAGTGACCTGAGGCCTGAATGAACAGCCTGGAGGATTAGGTGGGGTCGGTGAGACTGGAATTTCCAGTCAGTGGCAGGGTTTGTGCAAAGAGGTTGCAGGGAGGCTCTACTGAGAGCTGTAAAGGGAAAAAAAAAAAAAAAAAAAGGGTGAACTTTGAGTTCCAGGGTGGGAGCTCTTTAGGGAAGGAAGTAACATGATTAGCTTTGGGTTTAGACATCCTCTATCAGTTCCTTTGGGCTGCTTTGACTAGAATTCCAGTAGACTAGCTACTTTATAAATAACAGAAACTCAAGTTCTATCGCTTTTGAAACTGAAAAGTCCAAGAAGATGATGCTGGCAGATTCATTGTCTGGTGATGGCCTTCCTGGCTGTTAGAGGGTGCCTGCCTGCTTTCTCATGTGGAAGGGACAGAGTGTGCCCTTCCCCCTAGGTTATATGTTACTAATTCCATTGTAAGGCCTCTCCTGAATGACCCAACTATCTCCCAAAGGCTCTGCCTCCTAATACTGTTCCGGTAAAATTAGGGTTATTTTTTAGTCTTTGAGACAGGGTCTTGTTCAGCCCAGGCTGGCTTTTAATTAGATTATATAGAGCTAAGGGTAATCTTGAATTCTGAGTCTTCTAAGCTCTGCTCTCTGCATGTTGGAGTTACAGGCTTGCACAAACAACCACAGCCACATTGGGGTTAGGCCTCAATGTATGGTTTTGGGGAATCATCAGAGAGACCTGTGACAGGATGGGGGTGTAGTTTAGGGACAGAACATTTGCTGGGTGTGCTTAAAGCTCTGTGTGTGACCCCA